GCGAAAAGGCTGCAGAAGAAAAGGCCCAAAACATAATTCTACACGCTGGGGCCGGGGCGGCCGTGTTGGCTTTGAAGGCGCCCGGGGGCAATTTGCATCCGGCAGGCGCGCGGGCATGCTTCCGGAGCGTGGCGTGGTCGGGCTGGCTCGTTGGGGTCGCCCTTCCCCTGTGTTCAGGAAGCGCGGCCTCGAAGCCGAATGCGCCGCTGGGAAAGCGGAAGGTCCCGGAACAATAGGGGCGGGGCATGCCGCCCCACCGTGGCGACAAATTTGCGCCCGGACGGGGAACCTTCGAACGGCCTTGCCCAAAAGGGTGCGGTGCGCCAGGGCCCCGCTTAGCCGCGATAAGGGGGCGGCGGGCTTGCGACGCGCTCCGCGCCCCACTTTCGCCAGCGAACCCCCGCCCGCGCTGATCGGTTTCGTTCGGATTGGGTGCTCCGCGCTGGCGTGCTATGGGGCGGCTCGGGAAAACGTTTCCTTTTTCTTTTATGATTGGTTTGGGGGAAAGGGGCCTCGGGCCTTTCCCTCCCTCCTGGAAACTCGGTGTCGGGCGCCTGTTCCCTCAGAGTTGTTCGTGTTTCCCAATTGTTTTTTAATTTTCGTTTTTGGATTTGGCAGGCCCCGTTTCTTGTTGGCGAAGCCCCGTCCAACCTTCCAGGTGTCCGGGTCTGTGTCAGTGTGGGGGCGCCTCGGCGCGAGCCGCCCTTCCCACATTTGGAAGCCACAAGGTGCAAAATTCAGAACGACAAAGCGACCGCATCGTTCGTCTGGGGGTGTTGTGGGAGAGGCTCTCGTCGTGTCCGGCCCCAGGCGAGCTTACAAAAAAAAAAAAAAAGAACCCATGCGCTTTTCAGGGTGCAAAAAAAAAGCCAATACGTTCCAGCAAAACACCTCTTAACCCCAACCGGATGGCGCGTTTGAAAGCATGTCGTGCTTTGGGCGTCTCTACAAATAATTTGCTGCTTATGCCTGCCTTTTTAACCGGGCACCGCCCCACGTTCCTGAAATAACTTATTGGAAAGGTTTTTCCCGTGATTTCCCAACTGGGAACAAGGGGCGCGAAATCTGGCAGGTAAATGCAGTGGCCGCACTCACCCCCCGAGAGTTTTTATGCAATGCTGATGTTCTGCCGCAAATGGGGGTAAGGGATGGGGTCTATTTCTGCGCCCCGCGCCTGCTAACGCATTTTTGTTGTAAAAGATTCTGAAAAGACTCTCATGCGATGGGGGTTTATTCACTATATCATTTGATGCATTTCCTTCTCCATGATATTTTACCCCTGGTTCCCATGGTTTGATTTATGGTTAGGGTGGCAATTGGGCCTTTGGGGTGGTGAGTAGTTTCCAAAATTTCCACCCCACCAAAACCCATTGGGACCGCCGCGCTGCGGGTTAGGGGGCCAAAAGTTGTCCTTTCGTAAGCAACACATGGTAATAAAGGCTTAAATGTTATATACCTATGTAATGTAGTTAACCTATTTGCATGATGCTGCGCCGAAGGTTGGGATGAAGGCGGACCCTGTGTGCATGAATATTTTTCTTCAATTATTCCGTTTGCCTATTTCCTTTAGATCAAACAGAATACTTCCAACAACATATTCTTATTAATACTATTATAGATTGTTGTGTGCTTATATGTGAGCGCGGATCATTTGCCAAGAAAAAGGTCTCAACCGGAGCAGAGCTTTGTCGTGATTGTAGCATCACTGAAGCGACGCGAATGCGCTGACCAACCCGAATAAGCGTCCCGAAGACAAGAAGAGACATTTTTATTCGGCAAGATGGTTTGCTTTTGAACGAGCACTTTCCTAAGAAGGCACAAAACATACCCCAAGCAATCCTGCCATTTGCATTTCGACAATTCTTGCGAAACCTCAATGTCCAAATATACACTTTAGGGTGTGACAAACCCCATCATGGATTTCAGCAAAGACTTAAACGCGTGAGAGTCACACCGCTGAGGACGGAAAAACGAAGCATTGACCACTGCAGAGGCTTCTCCATTGCGGCAAAAAGCAATCAAAGCGACGTAAAACTAAAGGCTTAGGCATTGACAATTTAACGTGAAGTGGCTGGCCGCCAGGTTTGTGCCCTCCGAGAAGATCTTGAAGCGAATGGGGGCCCATCCAGACACAGCTGCAGTCAGAGCCTGAACTGCGCTTTCCCCTCGACCCGGCACCTCCCGCANCCACCGGGAGCTGCCGGGTAGCTTTCACCACCGGGAGCTGCTGGGTAGCTTCCGCCACCGGGAGCTGCTGGGTAGCTTCCGCCACCGGGAGCTGCTGGGTAGCTTTCGCCACCGGGAGCTGCTGGGTAGCTTTCGCCACCAGGAGCTGCCGGATAGCTTCCGCCACCGGGAGCTGCCGGGTAGCTTTCGCCACCGGGAGCTGCTGGGTAGCTTCCGCCGCCGGGAGCTGCCGGGTAGCTTTCGCCACCAGGAGCTGCTGGGTTGCTTTCGCCACCGGGAGCTGCTGGATTGCTTTCGCCACCGGGAGCTGCCGGGTTGCTTTCGCTGGGTGGAATTTCTGCAACACTCTCGTCACTTGAACTTTGTGCACTGCAAGTGGAGCTGAGCAGCAGCAGCAGCGCTGTCACGAACAGCAAGTGACGCATCTTCGTATGCATGTGTGTATGTGTGAGTCGCTTAGTGTAGGGCGTGCAGGTAGGTACTTCCTTGCGGCAGTGTGCNATGAAGAGAGACAGCAGATGGCACATCCAACAAGCAGCAACCAACACAGCCAATCGTTTCCAGATGCACACCTACAAGCCATTCAAACAACACCGACCGCGGAGACCCAATGGCTCTCCACAGTTAATACCTATACGGTTAAAAAAGAAAGTTCACGATCACAACCCCCACCATCTACATACACCATTGCAGCTCCGATGCTCACTTCAGGCATACCCAAAGGACAGCCTAGTTTTACTGTCTCGTTGGAGAGCATGGGGGCGGGGGTTGACCGTGGTGCAGGGCAGCAGTTGTTCCCCGCGCTCTACACCGCTGGGGGACACTGCTATCGGCTGCTACAGAAACGGAGGGACTAAACGCGCTGGGTCGGTATTGCCGACCATCCGAGTGAGGGTGAAAGAAAACATAGAAAATAAAATAAAAGCCACAAATACAGAATAAACAATAACCCCCGAAATATATTTACTCACGGAAAAAAGACAACGGCAAGCACCGTACCAATCCATAATGCGGGTACGAACAGCGACGCCCGGGTGACACCATCGACGTCGTTGTTTGAAACTTCAGACAGCGTCTCACTGCCTCCACTACTGACACCCTTGCTGTCAGACCCTGCAACGTCCCAGCTGCCGGGGGCTGCCGGGTTGCTTTCGCCACCGGGAGCTGC